ATCTAATTTAGATGCGATTTCTCTAATTATTTCTACGTGATTAGAAACTGATATTTGCTCTAGTGAATTTATCCATAACGATAAAAAGCCAAAATCCAAATTCAACTCACGAGTATTTTCTTTAAGCAGTTTATTTTTTTCCTTTAGTTCTTTTACAATATTTAATACCTCACGTAATTGTTTTCCAAAATCATTAAATTGGCAACTCGTACATTGAACAGGAGTAATTAAATTATCGAAAGTTACATATGAACCAACAAAAATGTTGTCTGTATTCAATTTAGAGTTACCGGATTTACCATTGCTAACTTTACATGCAGCACATGAACATTTTTCATTAGCTGTGCTTGTTAGTTTTTTAAAAGCCACGTCTCTAAAACTGGCGCATACAAAATTTTGAATATTCTTAACCGCTGAAACATTTTAACTCATCATCAGTAATTAATATTTCATCGTTACATATTGCGCCCAACATTACTTATTATTATCGAAAATCCGATACGCGTTATTAAATTAATAATCAGGCAAAATACAAATAAGATAGTGGAAGCATAATATAATGATCTGTTAGGTAAACGCGTATATACTAAGCAATAACTATATACACTTCTTAGAAGAAGTTATGTAAATTACCAATATTATCAAAATATTTACAACCAAGTTCTGTAATTATTCTGTAATATTGACGTTCAATCAATGACAAAAGCAACAATACAATAACTGTAACTATGCGCAGTGAAGAAAAATTCAACGCCATTTGGAATATTTGGATATTTTAAGAAAACAAAATCATATGGATTCTTCAAGACTCCAATACTTTCCAGAAAAAAAGATTCCAGCTAAAATTAGAAGTGAATCAAAATAAATTGAGAATAAAACTCTTAAAGATCGTTACAAAGTTTACTAAGTTTATTTACTATGCAGGTCTCGACAAAATTATAAATAGCATGATTATACGATTTGAAGAAAATTACTTGCCTATTTTGAATTGCATGCAAGATATTATTATTAAATAAAAATCTAAAGAAAGTATCATTTGAAGAAGTCAGTAAAGTATACGGTTTTAATATCTTCGTTAAAACCGTATAGTTGTTGTAGAAACTTAAATATTTAATCGAATGTATAAACCTTTTAATAACAATGGTAAAATACAGTCTAGAATTGATTGCCTTTTATCAGGAGATAATGAAGTTGGTTTTCTAAATTAAAAAAAAAAATTTAAACTGCTCCTTACAATACCTACTAATTCTGCATATCGTGAAAGATGTTTTTTAATGCTTAAGAGATTAGACAATTATTTAAAGACCACACTAGAATAGGAGCGGTTAAATAACCTTGGATTGGTTCTAATAGAACAGAGGTAGGCAATAGGTAGCCCGTGGGCTAAGTCCATCCCGCAGAGAGGAAATAATTAGGAATTGCCCATTTGTGCCAAAAAAAGGTATGGCTAAAAGGTACAGCCCATTTCCACATAAATAAAAAAGGTTCTTTTTTCCGACCGCCCATTTGCGCCAAATTCACCTCTGTATATTATACGATTACGTATATTAAACGAGTCATTTTATACTACTTTTATTTTCTTTAATAATAATAAATAAATAAAGGTTTTATTATCAAAACAACGTTTACATGATAGTCAATTTAATACTCAATTTTAGATTCTCAGTGGAATGAAAAAGGTTATGATTTTACAAAGATGTTAATATTTTTTTTATTTTTTTTTATCTGTAAACAACTTTTCTACTAGAAGACTTGCTCGGACTTCTAAGTGTAGCATCTTTTCTGAAAGGAAATTGGTAAAGAAAGGTGTTATAGGACATTTTAAAAATTCGCCAAGAGTTTTTTGATAAAATTTGTAAAACCGAAAAACCCAGAAAATATAAGAAATTTAGGTATTAGTTAAAATATATTACGGTTATCTTTTTTTCTATGCACAACTTTACTACCAGCAGTTTTGCTCAAACTTTTAATTCAATAATACACATTTTTATTCAAATCTTTTGAAAAGTGGTTTTGAAAAACATGTCCTAGGATAATGAGAATAAGTGTAGCCACTGTTATAGGTAATTTAATGTATATCTGTTAACAACAATTAACCATTACTAACAAAAAAACTATTTCGAGTGAAATTCAGTTTATAGTGATGTTTTGTCAACAATGTGCATGTCACAAGTTATACCTGATATAATATTACAAATGGTAAAACTTAAAATATAAATTTAATGGTGTTTAGAATCGGGCGTGTTATTTCTATGTTTGCATCTAAATTTCGTTTTTTTTTTTTTTATCTATTTGACCAACAAATGTAGGTCTAGACTTTTTTAGCCTGAAGTAATTTGAGTTTTTCGTCTCGAAATTGTAGGTTGAACATTTATCTGACGAACGTTTTTTTTTTTTTATTTGCAATATAATGCAATATTTTGTGTTTGTTAATATTAAATATTTCTAATTAAAATTTATTTTCATAAAATTCATATTATACAATACAAATTATAAATAAAATCATTTATACGTATATTTACATGTGATATAAGCGTAACTTAATATTAAAATATGAATAATGCAAAATAAAATCACTCACATGTTTATTAAAAATTCAATGGCTGTTGGTTATTACCTCAAATAGGTTAGGGTATCTAGTAGACCCTGTTTAGTAGACGTGTGTACTCAGTGCCGGCCCAAGATATTATAACGCCCCAGACAAATTTTTAAAAAGCGCCCTTAAAAATATTCTTTGTGCGCTAAATATCAATTTTTATTCATACGTGTTTTGTTTAAAACTATCAAATTATATTTATAGAGTAGTAGGGTACAATAGTTTAGTCACAACTACACAAGTAATTAATAAACATACTATTATTATTAATTTTTTTAATTATACAATATAATTATTATAATTTTAAGTTATGTCAGGAAATTTTTTTTTTGTTTACACAATTGTCAATAAATTTATTATTATTCTACATTTTAAATCAGTACAATTTGTTATTGCTTTGTTGAGATCTAATTAGTAACTATATCATTTCCAAGACTGATTAATGCCGAATTGTTGAGACGGTCTTCTGTTATTGTTGATCTTAAGTAAGTTTTTATTAACTTTAACTTACTAAAACTTCTCTCACAGCTTGCAGTAATAATTGGAATTGTCATCTTAATTTTTAAAGCTACCCATAAGTTTGGTAAAGTATCTTGTAGTTTGTTATAATTAATAAATAACAGGATGTCTACTGACTAGCTATATTTTGTTGAACACAATGATCACACAGTCTCAAATTCATTACACAAATCTATACCACTTATATCACATTATGTCGCATCGCTTAGTTTATTATGTAGAATATTTGCACAGTTATCTACGTTATTATGGTCTTTGATGTTTGAAATATAATTCTGGATTTTGAGTAACCGAACACCCAGTTAGGGTCCGTAAATACGTGGACGGGTGCAGCCACTGTCATAGATAATTTAATGTATACCTGTAAGCAGCGATAAACCATTGCTAACGAAAAAAATATTTTGAGCGGAGTTCAGTTGATAGCGATATTGCTTTGTCAACAATACACATGCCATTTTATAGTAAAATGATTAAATAAGCTTTATATATTTTCTTTAATAATATTTGTTTAATTTTGTACCGATTTTCCCGTTTTTCCTACGTTTTTCCCAGTTTTCCAATGTATTATCTCAGTTTTTCACATTTGCTGGAAAAACAGTATAGAAAATCGAAAAATAACCTCTCTAAAGTACCTCACGGGTAAAATTTCCTTTTAGAAACATTGCTATCAATAAAAGTGTTAAAAAAGTTGTGCGCAGAAAAAAAGAAGACCGTAATATATTTTAACTAATATCTACATTTCTTATAATTTCCGGTTTTTTCAGTTTTTCAAATTTTATAAGAAAACTCTTGGGAAATTTGAAAAATGACCGAGAAAATGTACCTCCCCACATTGATTTCCTTTCAGAAAAGTAGCTACACTTAAAAATCTGAACAAGTCTTCTGGTAGAAAATTTGCGCACAGATAAAAAAAAAATAAATATCTTTGTAAAACCATAAACTTCTTCGCTCTACTTAGAATTTAAAATACAATTTGGTTAAAATTTTATTTTTTTATCTCTTAATAACGCATATAGATATTATAAATTACTGTTTTTGATTAGTAGCACTTTGTTTTTATACTAAACATTTGAAAAGTCATGTGTATTGAATTAAAATAAAGAACTGATACTGGGACCGGGTGTACCACTGTTGTAAGTTAGAAGTCGGAAAGGTAGGATACATAAAGTTATTTAATTTATATTTATAAGCAACGATAAAAAAATCGCCAAATAAAAAAAATAGCGAAGTACGGTTATACATATTGTTTTAAAAGACCGTAATATTTACGATTTTCGTTAAAGTTTGATATTAAAATTCTTATAAAAAAAAAAAAAACGTTAAACTTATTATAATAAGAACGACCATGATATGATAAACCTCCTGTTGAATTTTCAAGCATTTCTGTTTAGTCTAAAAATTTTATCCACATAGTCCTTACCAAATAAAAATTATATTAAAAATCGCAAAATTAAAATTTTGTGTATATAAATAGAATAAAAATGATTTAAATGTTTTAAAATGTTATCACGTCTAGCCGTCTACGTGAGCAATTAAAGGTTAATAATTATAATAATGATAATTTCATTTTTCTACGACTATTAATACCTAAATTCCAAAAAAAAAAAAAAATAATATAAGCTCTATTTTCGTAAATAAAATTCGTTTTTTCTGAGTTTATGCTCAATTATTAAAAAACAAGTCTTGTTTGGAATTCTCCATACTGTTCGATAGAATTTCACAACAGTTATCGTCCTGACGCAACACTATTTATAACTTTTTACGACATTTAGACATACCGTGGGAGTATTCTCTTCCCCTACTACAGAGATAATCAAAAAAAAAAGATAAATTTTGAAAAAAAATTTTAAAAAAAAGAAATTTATTTACTAAACAAAATGTAATAGGTATGTTCATTTTTCTCGATTTTACCTCAATATTACATTGAAATATCAAAATAGTACTCCAATTTTTCCAGTCAAATATACCATGAATCCAGTTATGCTTGAAATTTGCATTCAATCTGTTTGCATAGAGCCAACAAGTTTCACAGTATATCTTACTTCATTACAACCGAAAAACAATTGAAAAAGAACGACCAGAATTTTTCAAACAGACATTTTTCAAAAGATATTGATTGTTTGTTGGTTTATATGGACCATACGCGATGATTTGTTTCTTTAAGTTAGAATCAGTAATGTTGTCTTGAAATTTGCTCTATCAGTAGGGTATTCTGAATTCAAATCAATTGTAGTATTTATCACTAAAAAAAAAAAAAAAACAAAAAAAAACAATTGATTAAAATAAAAGATAATCAATAAGTTTAATAAAATTAGTCAGTAAAATAAAAATAAATAGGTTTGTCGTAATATGAAATTCTTAGTTATTGCCTAAAATACTCAAGGAATGCTTGTGAAAAAAAATATACCGTACACTTCTTTAGAAATGGTCAGGTATTGTACAGAATTCCTAACCAATGCATAAAATATCATAATTATACATATTAATGATGCTGACGTGTAATATATTCTACTTATAAATACATACGTTTAGTTAAATATTATTAACGATAAAAAAAAAATCATATAAATTTTATCATCGTTCATCTAGTTGAATCAAATTAAATATTTGAGTTTTTTATAACAATAATACTCTTTATTACAGAACAATTCCATTTTACATAATTTAATATAAAATGACTGATACGTTTAAAAATTTAAAAAAAAAAAAAAACAATAAAATACGTACATAAATAAGTGTTACAAAAAGAAGAATATACAACGCACAAACATACAACATTTCAATATTAAAATACATTATTAAGAACATTGGATGACGAGTGAAAAAAAATCTATATTATTAATGTACGAGTATTGCCAGTCGACATTAACACGTATAGTGCCATATAATTGTATGAAATACTGGGTGGATTCGGTAAAGAGATTTATGTCTTACATTGGGCAAATTAATTTTAAAATTTATTAATTCTATTAATTCTGGCAATCCACAACGTTATTTAATAATTTCGTATGAAAACCAAATATTCAAAACCTTTTCAACTAATAATTTATACGCATTATCCTATTAGAGGCGTAATTATAATAGTGAAAAAACCATGTACACTATCATAGCTAGAACGAGGAGTTCTGTACATTACATTGAAAGCGTAAAAATCGTAAAAAATTGTTTTTGGATTTTTGAAAGACGGTGTAATTGATGCAATGACTTATTACGCCATATTAAACTCGCGCAAAATTTATCGTACTGGTTTACTCTTACACTTATGCTTAAATTAAATATTTCGTATAAAAACTCACATTGTGCGTGTTGAACTATTTTAAAAAAAAAAATTTAATTTTTTATTAGTTTTCAAAATATCTTGTTATTCCTGTTGTTTTTCGCCTCGTCACTGAGGACTATTGGTTTCGTCATTTTTCACAAAACTTTTAGTAAAACGATAACCGTGACTAAGTCACAAAATTTAAAAATCGGATATAGTAAAATGTAAACTACTACAGCGTGTACAACGCAAAAACGATCAAATACAACGGGTGCCGGATCAACACAATAGTTAGTGCAACGGACAAATAAGTATACTGATAGTGATAATGCGATTATGCGTCCACGCGCGCGCGCGCGCGCGAGTGTGTGTGTGTGTGTGTGTGCGCGCAATGTTGAGAGTAATAAATATGTCTATTTTTAATTTTCAATTGTGAATTACTACCGTACTTGTAAACAAAGCATATTAGTGGTCTCAATGTTGTATCGGATATTTATTGATATTAACATCATTCGGCGTTTGATTGTGAAATAACATCGATCTATTGTACCTCGTAAATGGTACGCGTTTCATTTTTTTTTTTTTTATCGAATAATTAATCTTCCCTAATTTTTCCTTCCGATGCTGGGAGCCTCCCCCCCGTTTAAACATAAAACCTGGCCACGGGGCGCAAACGCATACCTCGCGTCCCCTATTGTCGCGGCGCCGAGTTTATTATTCACAAATCAACACAAACGTTACACGTGTTATTTTCTTATTTCATATCGTGTGACGGTGAAAAGCAGGTGTAAATACATTATACACGTATATATTTATGCGGAATATTTAAAAGTTTGTGTTTTATACATTATGTATGTATAGGCGCGTAGGTACGCCATCAACGTTGCCGACGGAGTTAAAACCGCGAATTAAAATATAATTTATGCGAAAATATGGGTTAAATTATTTTATGTTTGCAATCAAGAATATCTCAAAAAGCTTTTAACATAGTGTTCCGCGCGGTAATTAAATTAACCGCCATGATATTATACTCGTACATACGGCATTATAACGCGCAGGTATTTATGCGACGATAATTATTTATTAAAACGTATACTCACGTACATTATTCTATACAGGGTGAACGGCAATTGTCTAACGCGAAAATCTCGATTAAAGTTGTTTGTTTTCTGTCCAGTCGTTATAGAATCGAGTTTTTTCTTTTTTTTTTTTATCTAGCAATATTTTCAATGTTTTACTCCCAGTATTATTATAAATACAAACGTATCGATTCGCACTAACAGAACAGTAGTGCAATAACACGAAAAACGGCGATTCTGCGTTATAAATATAGGTGCCGATTGTTCTCCAGCGGGTAATAATTCAGTTCTTCGTGATGTACAACCGTAATTCATTTTAAACACAACTGGCGGTCCCGCGCCCGGCGTTGCCCGCGTCAATATTTAATGTTATTATTTCACCTATTTTCATTTTTGGTTTCGGCCGTGTCAGAATTGAATGAAGACAAATCGGTGAAAAGCGGGTAGTTCACCTTCGGCGGACCGAATGCGTTCTATTGTGAAATTCGAATAGCGTAAACAATACAAACAGGAATAATAATGATAATTACAACAGTTTTCTTTTCCGTGGCAACCCTTGAATAAACGGAAATCGTACATAAATAAAACAGTCGGGTTAGTTACACCATTTTTAATTCAAGAACGGCTGGACCGATTTTCATGATCACACGATATTTTCCGACTAATTTTTTAACGGTTATTAAACGGCATTTTTTTTTTTTTTTTTTTTTTTCATATCTGTTACCGGGGTAACACAAAACGACAACAAACAAAATTGTATTCATTATATTATAAGTTAAACTATTCGACGTTGCTCGTGTATGTGTATGTATATAAGCGAAAATACTAAAATCGCGATTAAAAAATAATGGGTGGGGGTAATTGAGTGAAAAACACCTTACGACCCCCATTCTCGTACATTCCGAATAAACGAAAAAAAAATGTCATTAAAATCGGTCGTGCCGTTTCGGAGGAGTGCGGCCACAAACACGGGACGCGAGAATTTTATACACGAGACACAATATATTACGAATTATTATTGTTATAAATTACACAGTATACAGGATAGATATTAAACACTTTGGAAATGTAAAAAATATTAAACGGCAATAATATACCCAATTGGGTTGCCCGACGAAATAACCTTATTGTAAAAACACAGATACTTATTTGCTCTGAAAATCATTGCCAATATCTCGCAATTGATGACCGCGATTGGCCTCGGGATCGTGAAAAACAAAACGCTGTGTCCGAATACAAGTTGGGGACGGGTAATAATATGAATTAATAATAATGACTATTGCATGTCCGTATTTGATATCATATGTGTGTTTATGGTATGAGAATAGGGGTACGGTTCTAAAGAACATAGCGCATTCGGCTCCCGTTTTACAAAAAGGAAAATTACCAAACGGCTCCGGTTTTTTACAACTCAAATTCCTTCACACTTTATACGGACGTAAGATTGTCTTAAACATAGGTGTGGTTGAAAATATGTTGGTGTTTTTTTTTTTTTTGAAGGTTATGTTCTAAGTAAAACATATAAATATGTATAAAAAAAATTGATTTGCTATTGTGAATTAAATTTTGTACAAAATAATACAAAATTTTAGTGTTAAAAAATAGAAAAATGACTAAATAGGCTTTACATATTTTCTTTTCTAAATTTTCTTACCTAAATTTCTTATATTTTCCCGTTTTTTTTTTTTCGGTATTTCAAATTTGATGAGAAAACTCCTGAGAAAATCGAAAAATGACTTTTTAAGGTACTTTCCCCACGCCGATTATCTTTCAGAAAAGGTCTTTCATTAAAAATCCGAGCTAGCCTTTTGGTAAAAAAGTTGTAAAAAATAACATCTTTGTAAAACCATAAGCTTTTTTGCTCCACTAAAAATATAATATATATAAACATCATACTTTGGGTAAATTTTTAATCTATATGTGTTATTTCAATCGATGAAAATTCGTTATTCGTAGTCGACCGTACCCCAAAAAATTAATTTTTACATCCGTTTTTCACTGTACGGGTTCTACACATCTAACCGTGATTTGTTTTAGACTTTAGAATAATATTCAGTTTGCCCATTCAGAACAACTGTGAATTGATCGTATAAATGTAAAAAACTGAAATTTGTTTTTACTTTGAAAATACCATTATTTCGGAACGAATTTAGTCTTTATACATAATATATAACGTTACATTTACATATTGAACGTTCCAAGTTTTCAAATAAATTATTATTCGAAGACGCATCTATGTGTAAAGATTTAAACTACTGTATGGTTTTGACAGCTGTCCAAATAACAATTCGCCGTATAGAAACTATCGCAGTATCCATATATAGAGTCTGTACACGTAATAAATCGGGAGTACGAAAAAGTTTATAGGATATCTATTGAAAAAGTAACAACAATTATACGTATTATTTATTATTAAATTATTCCAAAAAGCCACATACGAATTAAAATTTAGAACTAGAACCAGCTGTGTATATGAAAGCAGTGTTGCGCAACTGAAACAAAACGCAGAAAATATTTTAAATTTTAGATTCCGAGCATAACGAAAAAGCTTATGGTTTTACAAGGGTGTTTTTTTTTTTTTTTTTTTCTGTGGACAACTTTTCTAGCAGAAGACTTGGTCCAATTTCTTCGTATAGCTACTTTTCTGAAAGGAAATCGATGTGGAGAGGTACTTTTATGAGTTCATTTTTCGAGAGTTTTGTCATCGAATGCAAAAAACCGAAAAAAATGGGGAAAATGTACGAAATATATTTGTATAATACTACGTTTTTTTTTTCTGTGGACAACTTTTACACTAGCAATTCTGATCCAATTTATAATGACAGAAATGTTTCTAAAAGAAAATTTCACTAAGAAAGTATTTTAAAAAGATCATTTTTCGACTTCCTCAGAAGTTTTCTCCATTCGCTGGGAAAAACCGGGAAAAATGTAGGATAACTGGAAAATTCGGTACGACATTAAACAGATATTATTAAAGAAAATATATAGTGCCTATTTAATTATTTTCATATTAAATGACATATATATTGTTGACAAAGCATCACTATCAACTGAACTCTGCTCAGAATCGGTTTTTCGTAAGCAACGGTTTATTGTTGCTTACAGGTATACATTAAATTATCTATAACAATATCTGCACCCGTCTACATTATTCTAGGACGTCTTTTTTTCATTTTAAAACCATAGAGACATTGAGGATATTATTGAGACATCTGAAACTTATTTAATTTAAACGTCAGAGCCTATGTAATAAACGTTTCTTCAGTATATCTTTCCTTTTGCTAACAGCCCAAAGGATGGTTGGCAGCAATTTTCGACTTTGAACGCTTCTCCGCTTTTCTTTTGAGTTCACAATACGATTTGCGTTTCATATCTCTTACTGTTTGACTAATGTAGTCCAGTGGTGGTCACCCTCCGCTATTATTCCCTTCAATGGCACTAGAATATATATGTAAACATATGTAAATATAATATCATCTCCCAAATGTTCGTTTTGTTGCGAACAAACAACTAAAATTATAAACAATGATGTTCAAACTTAAGAGCCAGTATTTGTATTTTACAAAGCGCGCTATCAAAGAAATTAAAAACACAATTATGAAACTAACATTTTGGATTATAATGCTGCTATAGAAATATTTATTGATGAATAAAAATAAAAAGTGGACCAAAAATACAATTTATAGTGTTACAATGTACGTATTTTATTAGTTTAAAGCATCTTGTGCTGTATTTTCACCTGTGAACGATTTAAATTTACTAAAAAAAACTGTCATTGTACCCAGATAAAGGTATACCACAAGCAGGAACTACAGTTTTTTACGTCATCGGTAGTATTTATCAGACTTGCCTGCAACTTTTTCGTTTTTTTTATCAAAATATTTCATGTCAATTTAAAAAAAAAAAACGGCCTTAAACTACCAAAACTCAGAAGAATATAAAAATCGATTTAAAATAAATACCGTAGATTCAACTTTCACCCAGAAAACTGTTGCTGGTTTTGTCAACTATAAATTAATTAATATGTTAAAAAAAAACAATTAATTTTTTTAACATATTGAAGATACCAGCTGAGTTCTTTATGTCTGTTTCTGAAGAATGGGAGAATATGGCAGATTGTCAATTAGGTTTGAGTGTGATTGGATGTATAAAAGTTGTCAATGACTTTGCTGAAAGAGGAGTCGCTCTAA